TATCACAGTCGCCGAGTAGAAAAGTTCCCTACTAGTTCATGGCGAAAAATTTACATAATAAATTGGCTCAAGACAAAAAACATTACATACCAGGAACAAATGCTTAGAATATCGCTAGGCAAAACAAACCCACGTCAATATTGTACGCTATAGAATTATAGATAAAATGGCTCACCAGCATGCCATTTTATTGTTCATCGCTTACCACCCTATCATTGTGAACTAAATCCAATTGAGTTGATATGGGCGCAAGTCAAAGGAACAATACAACCTTCAAGTTAGCGGATGTCAAGTTATTGTTACAAAATGCTATCAACAACGTATCCAGCGAGAACTGGCAAAAATGTATTCAACACTTCATCAACGAGGAGCAGAGAATGTGGGATCTGGATACTCACATAGACATTATTGTTGAACCAGTTGTGATTGAGGTAAATAGCGACGACTCTGATTCGTCTGTTTTATCAATCACATTGTTAAATATCTGGTTAAATAAATAAATATAAATGAACCACTTCGCTATTATATATTAACACCTTTTATAAAAATTAGTTCGTACGCACATGGAACAATCCCTCTCCACCCCTCTGCTCACTGCAGCTACCATAAGTAACAGCGACGAGTCACTGCCAGGAATTTCGTACTTTTGGTGAGTGTAGTGAGGGTGGATTATCAAAACCTTCCACAGCTTTCATGAATCAAAGTGAGAAGCTGAACAAGTGTGTTTACTACATTCAATGGGGACGGAATAGTGACAGAAAATCAAAATTTTATAGGCGAACTTCTGTTGAAGACTAGCAACATTGACTGTACTGAAAAAGCTAAAAGACTATTTTTCAGGTTAAGGATGTTCTTCCAGATCAAAGAACCGAATGAAAGTTTGAAAGACCATAAAAATCGTAAAAGGAAATGGAGAAAAATTGTTGCTTAGACTAAGTCATTTCCATTTATTGTTATACCGCCAGCTTACTGCAAAAAGAAGATAACTCCATTTTCCTACTTTTCGAGTTGCTGTGTACATTTTTACGCTTACATGTAATTAGGATGTTCTGTGAAATAAGGATAAATGTAGTGCAGTATTAACGTCATGAGCATGTTAGTCCTGCTCCACAGAACATACTAAAATATAGGTAATGTAGAAAGATGTTATGAGTTATATTGTTTTTACAGTAACGTGATGATACGCTCTATTGTGGAGCTAGGAAGCCGTTTAAGCCATAGCCTGTGAAATAGGAATCACTAGGTTAAAATATTTTCTTTAAATCCGCCATTTTGCTTTGTATAAAATTTAAATGTAGCCAGTGTCACTCGCACCGCTAAGACGAATCCAACGACACTACATATGTGCCGTTTGACCTGTAGGTGAAAACTGAGAATCACTCTCAGAGTGACGTCATGCGCGCCGGCTGACGAAAGTCGAACAGCGGAGCATCCGGCACTGAGATATAGCAAACTAGTCCAAACAAAATAATCTTTTACTTAGAAAATGGGGGGATTTTTAAGCCCCCTCACGGAAATTTAAGTTTCTTTATCTTTGAAGGTGCGTTGCCATAGAAGAGAAAAGAGCAAATCTCCAAGAACAGCTCAAGTATGTGAAACCACAATATCGATACTTCTATGAGCCAATCATAGAAACAAAATAATATGCCATTAAACTGTTATTACCTTATATTAAGCAAAAATGATGTGTTGTTGTTTCACGTTTTGTTAGCTGGTTAGGTATGATTTTATATATACAGCACTCTTCCATAAAGTGCTGTTTTGATTTATATAGAATTTTGCGGTGGATGAAGGTGTTATGTACTGTTTTTTTCAAATTTTGTAGACATTTTTTTTGTTGATAATTTTTTTCTTAAATAAAATACTAATATATTAGTAACGAAAACGAGAAGTCTCTATCTAATAAAAGTACATGTGAAAAAAGTTTTCAAAGAAAAACTTTAAACCTAATTTTCTCGAAATCTGAATTTTGTAATATAGCACCTTCATCCACTCATACATGTCTTCAATTGTTGAGCTATATGGTTTGGCTACAGCTTAGATAACAATTAGCTATGAAACTCTTCTCAGTCAAACACGGAAACATATATTCGCAATCGTAAAAATTATACTATTCCGATATGAACTGGTGTAGTTTGTGTAAATCAATAATAAAAAAGAGTATGTTTGTCTAAAAAGAAGCAACGGATGACTATTTATGAAAAAGCTGCAAAATAAATTTGTAATGATGGAAATATTTGCAATAACTGGAAAAATTATTACTTTTGCTATGTATTCTACGCGGCTGTGATATAGTCTATTCCATTGCATTTTCATCGTAAGCAGCGCTAAATCACCAGACAAATATAACCTTCACTCAATCACAAAAATGTCGGTCTCTTTGTCTCGGAAAAAAATGAGAGCACATGAACATTTAAATGAGGTTTAAGAAACACTGTTCGTCAGTAAAACTAAACCATTTCGCATGCATATTTTGTTATTCTTCGCTCATTCTAAACAAATTCATTTAAAAAATGTATGTGTTGTCATGTAATTATAAATCACCTTCTGGAGAGCGGCATATTTTCCAAGTGAGGAGCGTCTAGTTGCCTACAGTTTTTATAACTAACATTTCTAGGTGTTAAAAATATCGGAACTACCGACCGCTTACACATTAAAAACTTGCCGTGTATGTAGAAGCATCCTAGTTGAGGAGTCGCTAGAAGTGACACTGAAAATGTCATGGATTGACAACCAACCCAAAATCGTACTTTCGTTGGAGGGTTTTGTCAAAATTGCGCAGTTGATTTCATCAGATTATTTCCGTTAATCCTTTATAGTTTGGTAAAATTTAGTAATATTCTGAATGAAAGACCTCATTAATGTGGTATGATTATTTTCGGACATAAATTCATTTAAAAATATCAATTAACTTACAAGACCAAATCCTTCAATCATGGTAAATAAACTTGCGAAATTAATTTCACTAGACTATTTCCATAAAATCCCTTATAGCCCGGTAAAGTTACCTATACTGAATAAATCGTCTTATTAATATAGTAGTGTGTTTATTTTCGACAGTAATTCCAGTTATATACATATCATTGAATTCTACTGAAGCGTTACAACAGTTACACTAATTATTTATTTATAAATCAAAACAATAATAGCGAACTTAGCAACATACATTAGTGTGCTTAATAATACTCTACATTCGACAATAGAATTTTAATTAATAATCAATACAATATATAATATTACGTGTCTTCATCAAATTCGTGAATACTCAAGAGTGGGGCCTCCTAAATGCGATGGCAATTAACGTAGATATAATTTATCTCCTATCAGAGCGCATATTTATGGACGCGGTTTGTGAACATTTGCACTTGACGGTATTCGACAATGGGTGTCTCTTTCTCCGAATGGGATCAGAAATAGAATATTTTCGTATGATACTGTCGCGCGTTACAAACTGCTTGCATAAATACCCTTGAAGGATATAGTTGCAATTATACATCATAAAAATAGATTCAACCGTAAACTTCCAGTGTAGACACAAAATCGTCTCAAATCTTTCATTGGGAAAACTACTAGAGGTTTCAGCGCCACGATAATCACATCTTTTAATAAAAGTTTCTGTCGATCGTTATACAATGCGAATATACGAATGAATCAGAAGATCAAACTTATAATAATAAAAACTTTGGCCTTGAAGGTGACCCCAGCAATCAATTTTACATTAAAACCTTCTGTAACGCAAGCGGTCAAGTGTTCAGGGAGCGTTAGAGCGCTACATTCTTTGTGTAAAGAATATAAGCTATAACGAGATTCTTCCCCTCCAATCAGACTATTGGGGATGGTATTTCAATCACAGGTTAAGTATAACTACAGTTAACTAAAAGTTAATTCTCGAAAAGCACTTTTCGATGTCAGGTAGGTTTGCCCTAAAATTGTAATTACTTTTAACCAGAGGACCATGTATGGGTTAAATACAAATCTGCAGCTAAATCACAATGTTGATATTTCGTTTTACAGTAACGCGAGTATGTCAGGGATGACACTAGACACAAACGCCCAGTATCACAATGCTCACAAAACACCGTTGCTTCTTCAACTATGGTTTGGCTAACCTAAATTGAAAAATGAGTTTTCGGATAACTGTCAGTTAACTTTCAGGTTAGAGTCGAAAGTTAACTTGTGTTTGAAAAATCGGCCCTCAAGCTCAGTTTTTATCTCATCATGCCATTTGCCTGGATTCAGATTTACATACTCTAACCTGGATGCTAACCGGTAGTATACATAGTTATTGATTTGGCAACGTTACTTCTGTGGTCTCAAGTATCGTATTCCGATGCGCTTTGTGACGCTCGACGTTAGTGCCTCTTTTCATATATGGTAACTCGAGTCACTATTAGGTCAAATAGGTTACCTATACATTTTTCTAGTTAGCCCATAGAATGCCCTCTAGTTTAAGTTAAATCCTGAACTTGAAATACACGCAGTGAATTCTGATAGACATATAATTTAAACATCCAACATAACCTGCGTTTCAAAATAGTAAGTCCTATTTAAATCTACAAACTTGACTATATGACCACATGCGGTCATCGTCAAGGTTTGGAGCCTTCAAGTATATTTATTGATCCTTTGAAACTTTGATACATTTTTTCATTAAAACTCCTTGTTGCTAATATTTTATATGCAGAATGTATGCGTAACGAACTAAATGGAGATTAATCTAAATGCGTGAAATTGAGAAACATTTAGTGTTTGAGAATTCAATAATGACGGGTTAAATGTGAAAAAATCACTGAGAAATGAAAATAGCAATTGCATTACAACAAGGAAATCAGATAAACTGAAAAAGCGGTGATTTTGCAGCACATTGTTCAAGTTGTATAAGCCACAACTTCATGACGCATAGCCTCGTAATTTCCCAATTGTGGAAATATATAAGTACTCAGACGCTAAGAATAACAGATTATATATACGTTTAAATAGCATCTGGAATTTAACTGTATGTTAGACTCTGAGAAACGCCATTCACAGTCTTGGACTTAAGGATGTCATTCTCGTACGAAAGGACGGTCTCTCGACCATTCTCGTAGATTCTGCAAAGAAAAAATAGCAAATTGCTATAAATGAAATGCATTTTACTTTGAAATGTACCAAAAGTGCCAAGAATTCAATGAAGTCAAAATTAATCTGTGCAGGTAACTGATAAGCACCATAAAAAAACTGCAACTTATACTGGAGCGTAATAATATTGCCGTATTCCGTCGAACCAAGTCTGTACAGCGCTGTTTCATTCTTTCTAGTAATATCAGCACGGTCTTCAAGGGACAACCAATCAAAGCAGAGCAAGATAACATCTATCTCTGAAGTATGAAATCAATGCCGAGCACATATCCCTGATATACTATCACCGGAGTTCTACAGTATCTAGCGGCTGTAGTGATGACCTGACTGTGAACTGAAATTCCTTTACAGTTCCAATTCAGTGGTAGGTTTTGATAACAGATGGCACTAGCGGCATCATACCTCTTATTGACTATGATATTGGTTATTCTGATCTGCTTTTGTCCATTGTCCTACCTAAGCCAATAAGTAGAAACGTATACGACTAGTAGGACAGATGAAAGCAGTATTATTTGGAGTATTATTAATTTTCAATAGTGACTGTACTATGGCCAGAATCTGACAGCATCTAAATATCACAGTGCTGCAGTATGATTATATTGGTAATTTTGGATTTAAAATCTACGTACACATCTTGCATAATTATTGATAGAGGTGCTTCAGTATAAAAAACAAGTGCTCATATCACTGAGCGCGCTTGGGGCTAGCAGATTCAGACATATATCAAACATTGTTTTCCAGTACGAATTTTTTTTTTGAAAATTCTAACAGTTTTGAAGCTAGTAACATAGCTTTTGTTCGTCCGACTGCAGACAGCTTTTTCTTAATCTTTGGCAACTCAGCAGCATGGTTTAGGCTTGGCCTCAGGTAGAATAAAGAACGGAAGCTGAGCAACTATCGTTTATTCCAGAACAAACATAACGTCTGTTACTTTAGCATACATAAAACACCTGTGATCTCACGAACATACAAATTTTATATATACCAAAGATCATCTGAACTATCGAAATAAGACAGCACAAAGTCCCAATAGTCAGCTTGATGTTTTCACTTTCACAGTGATCGGTTATGGTAATACATGGCACTTTGGGCTGTCTTATTCCGATAAACATTATACTCTGAGTAGAGTAGAGTTGTTCAGCTTTTGTTCGTTGATGTCCACCGAGACCAAGCCTCCGCAATGCAGAGGAGTTATCAAGTGGCACGAAACAGCTGTCTATGGTTGGCTGTCTGTGGTCGGACAAACGAAAGCTATATTACCAATTATCTGCGCTGTTTTAACAATATATTGCTATTTAGTTTTTGAAAAGCTGCTTTGTCTTATAGCTTGTAGACACAAAGCGAAACAAATTTTGCACCGAGTTTGTTTCTTGATGAATTATGGCTCCATAGTATAGGATCATCTAAGGAGAAAGTTTGTTGATCGAGCAGATCTAATAATCTCTGTTTCTGTTAAGTTCTATTCAATGCGTTTGAGGATCACCCAAATTCAAAATATACTTAAAATATTCAAGAGTATAACAACTTCAAAGTTTGCTGTATGTGTAGAACACTGAGCTCGCTAATTCCTTCTATGCCGATATGCAGATATGTTGATGTCCTAAACACGCTCAGCGTAAATACTAATAGATATTAGTAACAGTTTTTGGAGCAATACGACAAAAGCCTTTATTATTCTTAATACTGTTGCATTATTGGCACTTTGGGCAAAATGATGGATAAATAATTAGTTAATCATAGTGTAATTCGTCTAATTGTAGGATGTTTTATTAGATGTTATTTCGATTATAAGCAATTATTACGTTATGGCTAGAAAAGATTAACACCTCACTTCTAATCAACTAGGAAATAACCTTTATCGAGTTTGGAATGTTATAGCCCCCGGTAATAGATTTTCCTTTATTCTGATAACATTAGAACGTCCATGTCAATGTCAGCACTTGATATCTGTGCCCAGTCAATTAGCTACTCATATAAAGCGCGTCAGTGCTGTAGTTCCCTGAATGCATCTAATAACTAGAATTAAAGAAGTTAACATCTTAAGATTATTCATAGATATTCAAAGTTCAGCACAACTACTTTTTCTCAATGACTGTGTTATACGCTAGGGTAATAACTGCTTTACAAAAAGTTCCCTCTCACTTCCCCCGGGTCAAGTTTGCAAGCTAAATTTCGAGTTGATGAAACTGATTCATAAATACTATATCTTGGCGTAAAAATAGCAACTGACAATCTCAAGGTGGTCCAACAACCCATCATAAAAACGCTTTAGTATGTTTATTTTATCAACCTTTTTTCAGAAAGATCTACTCGAATATGTGATATGGAACATTCCATTTTAAACATGTAAAAATCTGTCAATTTTTTAAAACGGAATGTTCCATATCTCATTGCACATTCAGATAGTCCATTCTAAAAGGAGAATATTTATATAACATACTATACCGTTTAGATCATTGGTTGTTGAGTTATAATTCCAATTTCCACAAACACTCAAGTTTGACGGCCTGCCAGTCTGCCACTTTGAAACATACTGCATTTATACTCTAGGGTTATAAAGTACCGATAAATACCTTCAAAATGAGGTATCACATGACCCCATCATTCTATTTAAAAAAATGTTCCAACGCATACGTCCAGCCACTATCCCCATCTTGAAACTGTTACTTCTAGGCTAAAATATAGTATTAATACATTAATACCATCACCCCGAATTACAAGTTGATATCATGACCCATTCAAAAAGTAAAGGGGGAAGGATTGAAAAGCCATGTATGTAAGTTTCTTACACTGATGCAGCCGAGTAGATAGAAACATAAATAATAATGCACCGCGACTGCTATTCTGTTGGTCAATTATTGATTCACTTTAAATTGTAAATTGGTGTATGCTTCATTTAGTCTCGTCAGTAAAGATGAAGCCAAGAAATTGTGTGTCAAAATGTTTGAATGTTTGTCTTAGGTGATACATTCAAAACTGGATTATTTCCAAGCCGAGTAAAATGAGGCTGCGATAAGTGACAGTTACCAAAAGAAATATGTAAAGAAATATTTATATATCTCTTAATCTTCAAATTCTTCTTTCTTTTTACTTGAATTGCAATTTGGTTATTGTATCATCGAATAAAAACCTAAATGTTATATTTGCAGAAATTCCAAATGGGCACGAAACATACCATCTTGGAGGCATTTAATTTAGAGTAAAAGACGTGACAATTTTCCTCAATAGATAACTGCCACTCCATTTGTCTAGTTCTAGCTAAGGTGAATATGCTCTAAAAATGAGTAATCAAAAGTGTCAGTGGTTCGTATTAGATAGCTAAATAGAGAGGGATGGACACTTGCAGGTAAAATACCATCCTACCTTTGCATACAACTTGATTTTTAACTGGATAGAACCACCGCATTTTGAAATTGCCCTCTCTCGGATTAGCTTTTTATTTATAAGGGCTAGAACAGGTACAGAAAAAATAGAACATAAACGGTAGAAACAACCTTCAGCGAAAACTATGACAATAGTTAACGAACGACTTGAGGTGTATTTTCTCATACACAATTTATTATCGTCAGGTCTGGATTCCTGCATATACATCCCAAATCGTACCAAGAAATCTGTTAAATAGGGTGATGAGAGCTTGCTGGATCAATCAAATATTGATTATAATGAAGAAAATAAATTATAACGAATGGAAGTTTTTATTCAAGACGAATATTATTTCGATGCTTCAGAGTTCTTTATTGAATATTATAACCCTTAACCAATAACAAAATAAACGAGAATTAAAAATCAACTTATGAGAGTATCATCAAAAATTAATGTGATTTCATAAGTTGTTATGATATGAGCTCTCATCACAATTCTATAGGCTGGAACTACATGTCTGAAGAAAAATGTTCAATAAGGTTCAGAAATGGTGATATTCAAAAATTCTACCAAAAAATCAATATATTTTTCTCCTGAACGGTGTATCAAAATTAGTATTTATTTTTCCACGTCATAGTCTATGACTTGTGTGTACCTTGGAAGTCAAGACAACTCTCAAAAAAACAAGGAGCAGAACACAAATTTTGAGGAAAATACAAAATATAATGATGTCTTTAGCTAGAGGCTTGCATATCCTGGGAAAAGTAGCAAAAATTAGTGAAGGTAGAAGAGTGATTTCACCTAAGGTTCAAAATTCAGAAAAAGGGTCAAATATCTTGAGCAGTAGTAGGCTAGCATTTACCCAATTTTGAATAGGGGGATAACCGATAATTACCGATCAGATGGGAATAAGTAAATTATCATTGTCAAATTTAGTCAGTAGTAGACTATGTCTGAAAATAAGGCACCATAATTAGAAGTCTGAAAACATACGGAATATCTTGAGAATTACTGGACTCATAACCACCAAATTTGAACAGTGGGAACAATGGTCCTTCATCAGATGGTAATATTTACACCATTGCCATATCTCCATCAGTTTTTTATTAGTTGAGTCTTGCTACTTGAATGTTAAAACACAGATGTTTCTGATGGAATAGTGAATCTGGCAACAAATCAGTGATTTGCATCTTACCAGGAATGACCGTGGTTAAAATTTGGTGGATTCCGAAGATATTTGGCCATTTCTAGATATTTAAATAATCCTGTATACTATGATATTGCCATCATACTAGATGCTCTCATAAAAATGTTACTTTGTTGTTGTAATGCTCTTCAATATACTATTATACAAATTTAAAATATTGAAAATGTGAACACTCAATAAACTACCAGTTTGCTGTCAGCAAACCGGCTCACCAAAGAATCCGAATAGATTAGAAGGAGCTAAGCTTATGGGTTTATATTGAATTGGTACCAAAATTGTGTAGTTTTGTGCATACTTTGGCTAATTTGCTTACCAAAGTGACAAACCAATACGTCGATGTTCAACTCTTCTCTGGAAAGATATTCGTACTGGGTGAATTCACGTAGAGCAAGGCAGGAATAATATCTGTGATCCGATGTGAATCGCGCATTTATTGTTAACGAAAGTAAATATTTATTAACGGTACAGCATGTGAACAATTGTGCTTAATTCGTGATTTTGGAAGGTGAACAATACGAAATATTCTCTCCATCAACAATGGCGGAATGCCTGATATTGAAAATAGTGGGACACATTGAATTCTACCCTTATCCATAAAAAAATTTGGTTTGTCTTCAATATTCTGCATTTTTCAATGTTGTTGCTAGGTATACAATTCTGTGAACGATCCTTAGATTGGGACTGCGTGCTCAATGAGACCAGAAGTGAAATGAGATAACGGTCCAAGTAAAAGCCCAATGTTTAGGTAATTGCCCATTCGCAACGCCGATGACTATAATATATAACACTTATCGATAAAAAAAATTTGATCTTATTTAGTTTGAACTGTTTTTTGCAGTACACAGGAATCTTCACCATTTTCGTCACTTTTCTGGAATACTAGGATTGAATGGAAACACGCAGTTTTATATGTTTTTAAAGAAAAGTACGAATTAAATGTGAAATGTCAACAACTGCCAAACTGGTGGTTTAAGCATGATGGATTTGTAGTACGAACTTGCATCCTGATTAGCGTAATTTTGGCTACAAACAAGCAGTTTGCTTGCTCCTTCTACCTAGTCTGAATTCGTTGGGTTCTACGAATAAGTCATTGAAATTAATGTTGCTTCGAGAGCATAGCTTGTGTCATAAGTAGCCTCCTAAAGTGTAAAAACGGCTATAATCCTAAATCATGATTCTCCAACAAGCAGTTCCAGCCATCTCAATATATCCACTTACTCACACACTCTCCACTTACTTTTTAGTAGTGATCTTCTTGCCGTTGGCGAATCTCGTGGACGTGGAGGTCCGTTTGACATTAGGCGACCCGCTGGGGCCCATGCCGCTGGCAGATGCGGTCTCGAAATGACCACAGAACGGACCGCCTGGATCCATGGCGGAGCCAATGTTGAAAAAGCTGTCCATCAGGCTACCGGTGCCAAAACCGCCTAGACCGAACGGGGAGAACAGGGATGCCGACAAAGCGGAATTCGCTGGGTGGGAGTAGTGACGAGATCGGTGGTGACCTGGAAATATACAATAAATATGTTACGAATATCGCGAGACATGGATGCCCTAGTGACACTGTACTAAGCTCAGGGTAATATAACGGTCGAGATGGAACTACGAGGTCTGTAAATTAAGTGCTGAGACTGGCAACATAGCGATCAATCTGGCAACACTGGAGGCGCGAAATTAGGGACAAGGGAACATAATATGATCCACTTTCTGTACAGGTATGAACTCGCTCGTGTTATTTGGTTGTCCGTAGCGATTTTTTTTGTGAATCAGTTTTTTCAATTGTGATCTAAAAATAAGTGACATCAATTTCGAGCAACGGAGTACTATCAGGTTTTGCTTCAGACTTGGGCACAGTGAAACGAAAACTCTTGCTAAACTTCAGCAGGCCTAATAACTACGAGGGATGTCTTTTAAGTTTTGCATGCGCTCGAACCAATTTTCGAAGCACTTATTCCACTCGTTTGATGGCAGATCAAAAACGGCATTTTTGGATGCGTCAACTGCTTCTTCTGATGACTGGATCCTTTGACCACGCAGTCTGTTTTTGATTTTCGGGAAAGTAAAGAAATCGTTAGGACTTAGATCGGGACTACATGGAGGATGGTCCAATAATTCCACGTTTTCTTCCGTTAAATACTGCCTTGTTTTTTGGGCTGTGTGTGAGCTTGCATTGTCTTGGTAGAGGATGATTCTTCTTTCGGGGTTGATTTTTCGAAGCTCGGTGATTTTGGCAAACAAATGGTGGTATACCAATCCGCAGTAACAGTTCTGCTTGTTCTGACAAAAATTCCAAGAAGCAAAAACCTCAACCACGCTGTACTAATAAATAGCTCAGGGAAATTGGGTGTATGTTTTCGTCATGGCACCCGATGTAGAGCTGTGCAAGGAATGCGAGAATAATTTTATAGTGAGTACTAAAGCAATTAACTGTAATATTTGCGCATCTAAATTCCACACTTCTTGTGTCTCAGTCAAAGACAGCTGGATAAAAATATACTAAGTGACATATAAATCTGAACACCCAGTTTAAATGGTTTTATTTTAATAAAAGTTGGTGAATGTATTTATCTTACTGTAAATAACAAGTGAAAAAATTTTCAGCCTTATCAGTTGGACATTCCGGTTTTTATACTGCCTTTTTTTAATTCACTAACGCTCTAAAAATGATCGTTGGCGGATTTTGGTTCTTGACATCCTTTACGATCGGTTACGATGACTAGAGTACGGAGACCTGTACGATTTCGTCAACTTAGTGAGTTTGATAGGGGCCGTATAGTGGGACTTCGGGAAGCTGGACTTTCTTTTCGGGCAATTGCAGTTAGAGTGCAAAGAAGTGTAGACACTGTGGTTAGGTGTTGTCAGGCATGGCTTCGAGAAGGCCGTACGCAAAGAGCAAGGGGCACTGGACGCCGCCGTAGAACAACAGACCGTGAAGATCGCCGCCTAAGATTATTGGTCTTAAGGGACCGTTTCTCCACTACCAGGTCCATTGCAAATGAATGGTTTGCAGACCATGGAAGACCTACTGGCATGCGAAGTGTTTACCGACGAGTGAGAAGTTTTGGCTTGTTTTCATACCGGCCACACTGGGTCCTCCCTTTAACTCGAGAACACCGACGTAATCGCCTTGAGTGGTGCAGGTAACGGTCACTCTGGGATCAGGAATGGAACAGTATTGTCTTTAGTGACGAGTCTCGATTTTGTTTAGGCATGCACGATGGTCGTGCCACAGTTAGAAGGCGACGTGGTGAAAGGAGGAATCCACAGTTTTTTTTGTTGAAAGACATGTTCATCACACTGTTGGAGTTATGGTTTGGGGTGCTATAGCTTATGGTTCCAGGTCACCTTTAATCTTCATCAGAGGTAACATGAACGCGCAGCGTTATATCCACGAAGTTCTAGAACCCCATCTTTTACCCTATCTTGACACCCTGGCAGATCCAACTTTCCAACAAGATAATGCCCGACCACATGTTACAAGAGTCACAATAGACTTCTTTCAACATAATGATGTCACATTGTTACCAATGGCTACCAAGATCTCCCGACTTATCCCCAATTGAGCACGTGTGGGATATGAGGGGTAGGAGATTGCTCAATTTGCAACGTCCTCCTCAGACTCTAGAAGCACTTCAAGAGGAGTTGGTGGTTGCCTGGAATGAGATACCACAGGAGGACATTGACCACCTGATCAGAAGCATGCCTAGGCGCGTTGGAGAATGCGTAGCACATCAGGGTGCATCCACACATTATTAAAGGTCAAATCATTTGAAATTTTTATCATTTACTTATTATGCTTCATTAAGTACTTATACAAAATTTTATTAAAATAAAACCATTTAAACTGGGTGTTCGGATTTATATGTCACTTAGTATAATATCAGAGTGTGAAAATCTGCTCTGGGTCTGTGATGACTGCCGTTGCTTCCTATATAAGAAATGTGATTCATCTAAAACTGAGACTAGTATATTACGAAAAGAAGTTGAATGTCTAAATAGGGAAATGGAGCTTACAAAGCGATTGATGTCGGAACTGGAGTACTCGAGTCAACTACAGAAAACATTATTGAAGTCTTACGAAAATAATGTTTTTGTGACACCAAAAATTGCATTGCAACCAAATCCAAGCACATTTAGCGAAATTTTAAAGAAACCATCCACGGCTACTTCATCTGTGTTGCTGATCAAGGCAGGTGCAGTGGAAAATGCTGATAGCAAAAATATTTTCCAAGAAATCACGTCATCTGTTAACCCAGCTAATCTGAACGTTTGCATCAACGCCACTAAACGAATAAAGAATGGTGTAGCAGTTCATTGCAAATATGATAAATCACTTAATTCGCTCAAAACCAGTCTCCATAACAACCTTAGATCAAAATATTCCATCACTCAAGCCACGAAACTGAATCCTCGCATGCTTGTCAGAAATGTAAATTTGGAGGGCTTAAATTCGCCCGAGGACATATTATTTCCTTAAATAGTTTAACATTCAGCAGACTGACATAAAATTTGTCACGAAGCTGAAATACTTCAACAGTGTCAACAGAGTCATTGAAGTTACACCGGCGGTGCGGAAAGCTTTGCTTCAAGAGGGCTTTGTGTTCTTAGGATGGAAGAAGTCTCATGTAAGCGATCATCTTCATATTGTGAAGTGTATAAAGTGCCACTCATTCGGACATTCGGCAAAAGAATGCAAATCCACGGAAATAATATGTTCAAAATGCTCGGGAAGTCATATGTTAAAGGATTGTAAGTCTGATGTTTCAAAATGTATAAACTGCCGGAACCATAACAGAACAAAGAAAAAATATTCAATGTGATCATGCAACAAATTTTAGAGGTTGTCCAATGTACCAAAACTATGTACAAAACCTAAAAGAAAGAGTCGACTATGGCTAATCTATCTACTGATATGAATAAAAACAAAATCTTAAAACAGCAGTATTAAATATCAGATCGCTTTTAGTCAAGTTTATCGATTTCAAAAACACTGTGGTCAATTCCCGGGGTTGGGACATTATTGCATTAACTGAGACCTGGCTCAATCAAAATGTAGACAATGATCTCATATCTTTGGATGGATATACTCTTTTCAGGAACGATCGAGTAGACTCCAGAGATGGCGGTGTTCTGATTTATATAACAAACCAAATTAGATGCAGCGTTATTGACATCATCTCTTCAGTTGAACAATTGTGGGTTACATTCAAAATTAAAGCGACGAGTCTTTGCTTTGGAGTCGTTTATCGGCCTCCTAAGTGTAACGTTTATGATTTTATCAATCAGTTTCAAGATTCGCTTAGTTTGTTATATCCGAAATATGACAAAATGATTTGCACTGGTGATTTTAATATTGATTTTCTCGATAAAAACAGTAATGCTGTCAAGTTATTTGATGATTCGTTGAATACTTTTGATTTGCATCAAATAGTAGCTTCGCCGACCAGATTTGGAGTCTCCTCCGAAACGTTGCTAGATCTCTTTTTTTGCTCTGATGTATGTAATGTACCAAATTTGTCTGATCATAGTTTGATATCTATAGTCCTTGAATATGAGGTAGAAACCAAACAACCTGTACTACGTAGCTACAGAGATTTCAAAAATATCAACCAAGAATCTTTTAAGACTGCTCTGGATGAAGTAGACTTTATGCAGATAATTTATTGTCAGGATATAGATACGAAATTAAATAGATTTAATCAATTAGTTTTAGAGCTATTTGACAAATTTGCATCCTATCGAATGGCAAGATTTACCAAATAACCAGCTCCGTGGCTGACTGATAATATTAAATTTCTAATGAAGCTTAGAGTTGACAAATTCACTGCCTATAGGAGATCAAGGTGTGATCAGAAATGGGAGGAATACAAGAAGTTACGTAATATAGTAAAATTAGCAACTGATAATGCTAAAAAGATTCATTTGTAACATAAAATTAGCAGTACGAACTATAAGACTCTAGGAAAGATTTGGAAGCTATGAACTTTTTCAATAAGACAGCCAGGTCATCTATTCCAGTAGATTTAGCTGATGTTGACGAAATGAACCGGTACTTTACGTCTTTATCTAGAGCAGGTATAGAACCTGATGCTGATACACTTTCTTTTTATAAGAATAATGTCAAACCTAATGTATCCCTCTTTGAATTCGCTTTGGCGTCCACAGATCAGGTGAAAGATACTTTGTTTGGCTTCAAAACCAAAGCATTTGGTGCTGATTTGATAAATATCGAAATGCTGTTGTATTGCTGCCCCAAAATTATTCCTTTCATTACACATATCATTAATGAATGCATATTGCGTCGCTATTTTCCTTCTTGCTGGAAGCACGCTTTGATTGTGCCTTTGCCTAAAGTTGCTCAGCCATCTGAGCTCAAGGATTTGCGTAATATTAGTACACAACATTGTCTAAATTGCTTGAATCAGTAATGGATGTTCAGATAAGAGAACACTTAAGAACGAATAACCTCATTGTAGATAGACAATCAGGGTTCCGTCCGGCGCATCGCTATGCAACAGCATTGCTGGGAGTGGTGGGATGATGTATTATGCAGTGCTGGCAAAGGTAACCTGACTGCCTTGGTGATTATACGAAGGCATTTGACAGGATACCTCATGACCTACTCTTAGCCATGCTCCACTTTTACGGATTCTCGGCCGATGCAGAGTCTCTAATGCGTAGCTACTTCAGCGATCGTCAACAGCAGGTAATGCTGAATGATAAGTACTCCACGCCATTGAAAGTGACCATTGGTGTTCCTCAGGGCTCTATTCTGGGTCCGCTAATGTTCATTATTTACACCTCTAATCTATACTTCAGTCTTCACTCTTGTAAAGCTCATTTTTATGCAGATGATACACAAGTGTACTTATCATTTCCTCCAGCTCAAACATTGCCTGCTGTTGATCTGATAAATAAAGACCTTGACCGTCTCACTAAAGAGTCTCGAAACATATGCTTAGACTTGAATCACGCTAAAAGTACAGTCATGTTATTCGGGCCGAAAATTGGAGAGACCATTGTGAACCTCTGGTGAAAATAAACCTCGATATCAAAGCCCGATAGCGCGTAATTTAGGCTTATACCTTGACAAAAACTTAAGGTTTCAGGATCATGTTAACAAGTGCTCCAGAAGGGCGTATTGTAATTTAAAGACGATATACGGTCAAAAATCTTACATGAACCAAAAAACTAAAGTCATACTATGCAATTCTCTTGTTCTGTCGCATTTTAACTTCTGTGATGTCGACTATGACAAATGTCTAACTAAATTCCCCTCTGATAAAATACAACGCGTGAAAAATTCTTGTCTGAGACTTATTTTTGGTTTAAGAAAATACGATTCTGTTTCATCAAAGCTTACTGATGCTGGCTGGCTTAACATGAAGCAACGCAGGCTGCTTCATAGCCTCGTACAGTACCATAAGGTTATTATACATAAACTACCATCCTACTTAGACGAAAAAATTAATTTCCGTTATTTAGCTCACAATCGCAATACCCGCAACAAAACAAAACTGACACCGCCTTTTCATTCTACCACCTTATTCGAAAGATCTTTTTCGTATAATATCAGTAAACTTTATAATAATATCCCGCGAGAGTATATTTCTCTTTCTATTATTTGTTTAAAAAACGTATACGCTATTACATTGCAGGTAATTACATGGTATGACTTTGGAGTCATTATGTATTTTTATAGTACCATTTATCAAATTAGCCGCTACGGTCCATTCTCTGATACTGCTTATACATACATATATTTTTTTACCTCATTTATATATGCTGATCTTATTATGATGTAAACCTAAAACCAGGGGTTAAGTGGAAGAGCGGATATGCCGAACTTCGCTCCTCCCACTATATGTTCATATAAAACTGGTTTTGCAACTTAAGTTTGTGCTCACTCTCAAAAAGGGTCGGATTGTTCTATGGAATTGGTTATGCATAATCGAATTTTGAGCTTGTAGTTTGAAGGCATCTCAGCAACCAAAAAAATTCTAAGACAATTGCGAGTCGGTTGGCAATAAACTACAAGAATGTTTATGATTTTGCAACTTATGTTTACCGATCGATCTGATCATGTATAAGTCACAGAAAAAAATATTAATATTTGTTCTAATACAGAGCTTCACAGATAAAATGGTGGCGGGTGACAACTCGTGTCCAGGAATATAATATGATTATGGAGTTACTGAAATTCTAAATTTGGCAGATCAGTAATTTACGTGAAATGCAATTAATAACTGGAAACCACCATTCCCATTTGCAGAGATGAGACTTATTTAAGATACAAGTACCTGAACTGCAGATACAAGATGAAAAATTGCATTTGTATTTAGAAAAATTTCGTTTGGAATCTTAAATATTATGTTCGATAAAATACCTTTAGTAATAGTTATCTATGCATTTCTTCACATAACGCACCATTGTGAGTTAGTCTGGGGCCAAGAATATGTAAAAGAATTGATCCTATGTAAAAGAATTGATCCTGACTGAAACACAAAACATTAATTGATCTGATAAACAAAACCCGGAGGCCTTAGATAATATTGGAAGTGATATAGAAAACAAGTCAAATGCCGAATCCCATTACATGTTCTTAGAAGGCTCTGATTCCTCTATTGCAAGCGACAAAAACACTGAAAACACTGGCTTAGAAACACTGCAATACCTAAGTAATAAAGATATCGGCTTAAAGACTTTAAATGCTACAATAAATAAATATTTTTCAAGTATAACACCTGTTTGCGAAGTTCTAGCCTGTGTAGCGACTTTTTCAATTGGAGGTATGATAATAAGGCCTCATCAAAGAAAAATGGGTGATAAAATATTTGAAGAACTTGTTCTACTTGTCTCAATTAAAATTTTAAAGGTTACATTTGCGCGGTCAACGCATTAACGTAATAAAATAAAATTAGTTTTCTTACAAATACAATACATACCTTAAAAAAGTATTTAATATTTCAAATACCATTCCAGAAAGTATTTTGTACGTAGTCGTGCCATAAGTTCTGTCCCATGATAATCTCATGATAAAAATGAAACAAGATAAGATATATTTATATGAAAGATATTATTTATTCGACAACATTTTTAGAATTCATAATCAAACAGTTTTATTCAAAATGTCCCCCCTTGGCCTTCACACACTGCTTCAATGTCGCGGGCCACTCATCTATCACTGCACGCACAGCTTCCAAAGGAATAGCTGCCGCTGATCGGATCAAATCCGCTTTCAGGGACTCGATATTACGGTGGGCTTTGGAGCAGGCCAACTGCTCTAGCAGGTCCCACAACTTGTAGTCTAAAGGATTGAGGTCCGGACTCCCTGAGGGCCAATCTTCCGCAGCAATGAACTCTGGCACATTGCTTTCCAGCCAGCGCTGCGTACTCTTAGCCTTGTGAGCGGGGGCGGAATCCTGCTGGTAGACCCAGTGTTGGTTGGCAAACAATGTACCACTTAAACGCTTGACGATAGGATCCAGTATGTCGCTCTGATAGTTTGCCGCTTTTGTTCTCACGCCCTGTTTACAGAAATGGAGCTGAGTGACCCCTTCGTAGGACACCCCCCACCAAACCATGACTGACGCAGGGTGGTGGCCTCTCTCAACTCTCGGAATGATCTCCGAAGCTTCCTGTGAACTCCTTGCATACACTTTGTCATTTTGTCGGTTGAATTTTTCTTCTATGGTGAAGATTTTCTCATCCGTGAACAAAATCTTTCGGAATCCCCCAGCTGCGTACCTCTCCAAGAGCTTCTTGGATCTTGTCGCCCTGATGTGTCGCAAGGTGGCCGTAAGTCGCTGGCCCGTACGTCTCCGGTAAGCCCTTAGCCCTAGGTCTTGTTTAATGATGCGCGACATCGTCCGGACAGGAATCTTCATTTCCCTGGATAGGATCTTCTGCTTCCGGAGTGGATTCCTTTGAATCCTGGCTTTTACGGCTTTGATGGCTGCTGGAGTCCTTACTTGACGAGGTCTTCCGCTTCTTGGCCTGTCATCAACAGAGGACGTCTCATTGTACCGCTGAATGGTCCTAGACACAAATTTACGCGATATTTGAAGGCCGCGTAAGAGTTCAAAAATCTGACTAGCACTGTGATTACACTTATGTAAAGCTATCACTGCAATACGGTTCTCTGCCTTGCCCCACTCCATCGTTATGCTTCGAGAGATCAATACAAACTGAGGTATATGTAATTACCCGAAAAGCGCTTAATCAACTGACACCACAATGTAAACAATCGGACAAGTATTAACAGGTCTACACTTGTTTGAAAACGAGGGACAGAACTTATGGCATGACTATGTATCTGGTATCTGAAATACTTATTTTAAAAGTATCTTATATTTTATATTGCAGATACTTTGTATTTAGGTATCTTGTACATAACTGCATATGTCTCTGGGATATCGTACTAGCAAAGTTACACTACGGAATTGCAATATTTTGATTGCGAGCTTACCCAACTGTCGGTAGTAGGGCGGTAAGTTCAGGCGAGTAAACTATCATTTTTCATACAGGTGCTTGAGATAAGATATCGCTGAGCACTAAGACGCGTTCGACGGTAGAGTGAATGTGGGCATGCGTAAAGTAATTTTTGGTTGAATAACGCAGAACGCTAAGCCGCTTGCGGTAAACAATTGAATGAATATGGATATTCATATTCCTTTACCGGCCTGCTACGAGCAAGTGGTTAGACACACATTCAAAATAATGGAGCATGTATCATAGCAGTACTGACAGCACCGCGGTACATCGACAAATCCGAAAGGTTCCTAGCCTTAGGACGTTTCAGTTACGCGGAGCAATAACTAACTTCACTTTTCCTTGTAGTCAATGATGTCATCGATTTTGATAACGTTTCCTCTAGTCGGATATTGCAGTTATGTTTGGACCCACAGTTACTAAAGGTTACTCCTATTCATATATGGTTACTCCTATTCCATAAGATGATGCCATGTTATCGTAATATTGGCCAACAAATCATTCTCTCTGCAGTTATCGCAGTGTTCTGCTTAACCCTGGATTTATTCCGGTAACAACACGGATTTGAAACATACTCGTATCAAAAAAATTTCTCGACGTGTGTTCAAAGTAGCGATGTATTTTTATGTTTAGAAATAATTACCTGCAGCTGGTGATCTCCTATCTCCGTGATGGTGGTGGTGGTGGTGATGATGATGGTGTCCTCCAGTTCCCAGCGGATCTAAGGGGAAAAATGCTGCCATGGTTTGGTGGATCGGGATAAGGTAAAAGGAAAAGAACAGAAAGAAGACATTTGTCAGCTTTGATGTAAAATACTACGGTTGTATCGCAGCCATTCCAAACGTACTTCTTGAATGAATGACTGGCCAGCACGCACTTTCATCATTGAAATTAAATTCTATTGATGGGATAATTCAGTAAATAGACTTTATTTAGGCTCCCATTCAGGGAAATAAAAACACGGCAACAATATTTCTAAGGATGTAAAAGATAACCCAAAAGAATCTAATAACCATGGATCTCAGCTTTTTTTTCAAAGTATACAGGGCTTACACCAAAATTTCAGAAATGGATATCAATATCATCTGGATATCAATGAGTTCGGGTGGGACCAATTCTTCACATTTTATGCAATTTGCATTTGTCAAACGTCAACGGGTTAGTACCTTTTCATAAAAAATAATCGCTATATTTATCCCAAATTCATACGACGAAAATACTTGCTTTGTGATATAGAATAAAGAACACAATTTAATAATGAATGTATCACAAACTTTGATAGGTATATGTTTGTTTAGGTTAGGATAAAAAACGATCAGCTAGTCAACCATATTGATAAAGTGGTTTTTATGATATCGTCTGTTCTTATAATAAAAGTAAGTAAGCGATAGTTGTGATCATCGATTTGGTTCAATTTTAGACGCAAGATCTTGGACGAAAAATGTCTTGTATTGAAAAATGTCCGTTTTATATTTACACAATTCTATAGTTTTGTTCCAGAATATTTAATTCATGTTCAGAACGTATATTTCTTTCACAGAACATCGAGTAACATGATTTGAACAAGATATAGTACCGAATCCGCTGGAGCGACTTTCACAGTTCTGTGCATTCCTAACCTCCAAAACACAAATTTTGACACTCGGTTTTGTGTTGCGGATTTCATTTGGCTTTTGCTAGTCATGGAAGATAGCAATATTTTGGAAAAAAACAGCATTACAACACAAATACACAAAAATCAATTATCTTTATGATTCCAATTTTTTGGTCGCAAATGTATGTTCATTTTTCTGAGTAAAGTACAATTTCTATATAGTCAATGTTGGTATCCGAATGTCAAAAATCAAAATAAATAAAGGAATTTTTAGTCCTGATACACTCTTACTCAATGCCAATCTACAATGAACATATTTCAAAATAAATGCTAAGTGCTATAAGATATAAACGAAACGACACACAATGAAAAATAATAACGAATACGTGAGGTTAGGTTTCAGGTCGGAGTTATAGTCTTTTTCACCTCAGTAGACGTCAAAGCGTAATGGATACTCGTAAAATAGGGTATATATTTGTGTCGTTATAGAACATATACTCCAAAGGATTTCTAGTTCATGTTTCAATGTATTTCCTGCATGATACTACCCAATACATCTTATTCAAGAAGTTGGACCGAATTTTGTAGAAGAGATTGTGTAATGTGAAACAGTCTAAGATACTAAAAGCACTGCTTAAAAAACTGAAACTGCTGATTGAATTAAAGGATGCAGATTTTTGTATCCTATCGGAACACTCACACACGAAAAAATGAGCACGAATTATTTGTTAAACCACAATTTTTTTATAGGAAAAAGATATTTGCCAGATTTTCTATATGAGTTGGGTCAAACTAATAGCTGTTGCAGACTATCCAGAGATAGACGTCCAAATCTAGAAATAATAATATTGTCACTATTCAACTCTTTCTACCCTGTATCACACAAATGGAAGTATGTCGTATTATATAGACAACTCTGAACCGAAACCGATACATCATTTTCCTTGATGAAATTTTTGATTTATTCAAAGCCGTATTTATTTATTCATACATAATTTCTTCACATATTAATCCGATTAGATACCTCTACTAAATTATTCAAAATCACGACAACGCCAAACTAAAAACTTATATAAACCATAACTGTTGGCTCATTACATAATTGACAACCAAACATAGCTTGAAAGTTTGCAATTAAAATCAGTGTCGTATTTGTATCACATACAAGGTTTCCAATAAGTACCAGGACAAACTTAAGGAGAAGGTAGGCTTAGGACTGATCTCCCAAATAACAAAAACTTACCTATATAAAAGTGTCACCGTTTTTGAGATATTGAATTTTTTCTTAAATTTAAAAAAAACGAACCTTTTTATCTGTGTCTTTAGCTGCATGTACAAATAAGGTTATACTTTGTTCATTTCTTCTATAAAATATTTCTAGATAGTTGCTTTATCAAATACAAATGCAATGTAGTTAAAAGATATTAAGGAACCATGATCAAAATAAGGACTATTTTGGGATTTATAACCTTCATATATTTTGTCTCAACTTTGACCATCTGTGGTGAAACAAAAATGTACTGGGCTATAACTGCATTATATTGAATTAAGAGATTGCTCATTGAATACAGATTTCAGAAAAGCACCACATGTACTATTTGGAATAGAAAAAAGTGATAGCTACTTTTGTAAGTGACTAACACACGCTACAATGTAATTATTGGATTTAAATTCAAGTTGCACTGGTTACCGATCAGTGACATGCTAAATAGTACAAAGCTTCATTATTATTACCTGCTCCTGATATGATTTTATGAAAGTTGAGGAAACAATATCAGAAGGTTATAAATCCCAAAACAGTCCTTATTTTATCATGGTTCCTTAATATCCCTTAACTACATTGCATTTGTATATCATAAAGCAACTATCTAGAAGTATTTTATAGAAAAAATGAACAAAGCATAACCTTATTTGTACATGCAGCTAAAGACCACAGATGGAAGGGTTCGTTTTTTTAAAATTTAAGAAAAAAATCAATATCTCAAAAACGGCGACACTTTATATAGGTAAGTTTTTGTTATTTGGGAGGCCAGTCCTTAAGTTTGGTGTGGTACTTATTGGACACCCTGTATATATGTATATATCTAGATGATGGCTTACAGAAAAAGAAAAGTCGTACTGAAAAAGTTTAAATGTCACCCTTTTTCAACTGAAACGAGAGAATGGAATTAACGTCAGATAAAATTTAATTCTAAAATCGACAAAATAACATTTAAAATTGGAAAAGCCGCCAAATTCGTGTTTGCAATATGTTAGTTCATTTCACAGTTTTCGACTTGATAATGCTATCCCATCTTTCTATTAGACTGTATAATTTCGAAAAAAACTACATATTATTTTTTCACAGCCAATTTTCGTTTCGGTACATGATGTATATACGTATTTATTTCTAATTACATCCAACTTGATAGTAAATAATATATGTCTGGCCAATCATCCACCAAAAATAGTTGGAACGGATTTTGTAAGTTTGGCACACCACTCAACAACAAGAAAAAGTATAGTAACAGCAAAGACGTCACTTTTATAACAAAAAATAACATTCCACCTCGGATGATTCAAATGAATTAAAAACACTATGATTTTCTATGACCAATTTACAGAGACACAGAACGATATAAAAAAGAGGATGAGTGTCAGCGGATAGATTATTTTAGTTTTGTTAGTGATAGTAAGCTTTTGGAAAAAAGCAAAGCCAATGTCAACAACCGTAGTAGTTGGATGGTTAAGAGGCAACCGCAAATATCGATAAACTGAGTATCAAAATGTTATTATCTTTTTATATTGATTTTCACATGGCGATCTAGGATCGTTCCCTGCAAAATTCCGAATGAAGTGGTTACCCTATGGGAAATTTTTTATGGTATCTCATTATTGCAGTCCGGGGTCACATGTACCAAAGAATTCCCATCCATCCACATAGATATAATCTTGGGAAATCGGTTACAAATGAGTAAATTTACAAAACTAAGTCATTATTCAAATCCGTCTCTCTTCTTCAACTAGCCGTCTTCCGGTGGTCTTAATGGCTTTTTTATGACTTTTTCCAATAACCATCAAAAAAATAAACAAACACAACAGATCCTGAAGTGGTTCTTTGCATGTTTTGAACACTCTTGACATATTGAACTATCAGCGAGCCTTGAATAGATCACAACTTTGTTCCTGTTTTGGTCATTTACAGTATGTTGTTTTGGCTGTATCACACAAACGCGATTGCAAATACGTGTTTACGTTTAGTATATCGATAACATCAACCTTACAGTTGTTTATACGATAAGTCACCGACCTTTTGCGATTGCCTCGTAGAAATAATATTTCAAGTTGCACGTTTTTAAAACACCAAAACTGAAAATTCTCCAATCTGGAACTTTAGCTATGTTAGACTATGTTAAAGGACTCAAAACTGGTATAATTACAATTCTCCTGAAGTCAGTATCTTATTAAGTAGTTATTATTCAGAGCTTTTTTACATTTTACGAATTTATGACCTTACCACTTATCAGGGAAGCAATGTGATAGTTGTTATCCAAGAATATTCCATTCTGAGGTCCGAAAACGTGATTTACTATACTTGTTATATACAGGGTGACTTTGAAGTTGAGTCATTAATTTTCAGATAATGATTGTAGAAGGAAGATAAACCAGAATATGTGTGTAAAAATAAAAAAAAAGTAAAAAAAAAATTTTACCTTGTTTTAAAAAGTATCCTCCCGACAAGTATTTCAGTGCGGACCTGTATTTGATCGTGAGGTCCCCTGTGAGGTCTTAAGTCACCTGATTCACGAGCCCGTTGTACTACATTAACAAAGGCACGAGGGGTTGGTTGCACTCGATTGGGAAACCGATCCGCATAAACATGTGCCATTTTTTATTTCGTTTGAGCCACGCAACAGACACTATTAACACGCTAACCGACAGATACTGACTGTATGTATAACTGAACTGAATAAAATACTTCATTGCAAAAACATCGTTCCAAATTCTTTCGCTTTTTTGTTTCCGATGCGATGAACCGGTAAGGCGGATTATATCCGTTGTTGCCAAACACGAGTACATGATATTATTATTGAGACAGGGCGGTACTCAAACTTCCAAAGGGCTATAACTTTGTTACTTTAATTTTACCAGAAAAATGGTAAAGGAAAAAAACATTTCTTTTGATCAGATCTACTCACTGTTAAAATAAATGACTCAACTTCGAAGTCACCCTGTATATTTGATATATTTCTAATTTCCGTCAGTTTCAGCTTATTTGTCACTACATAATTGCAGTAACATTTGAATACTCTTTCATTTGTAAACATATGAAGCATTGTTTTGTTTTACTTCCCACGACACTGGGGGAGGAAGTATTGTTATCGCAAATTTTTTTTGAAACAGATATATGTTTTTTTGGAGATGGCATGTACATCATGTCAGTTCGCTAATCCTTGACCCGTCTACAACTTGAAAAATACTGCTCGGATTTGGATGGAATTTTTACACAAGGTTACTACTATGCCAAGTATGAAAAAACTTTATGAAATACTTAAACTTCGTTTTTTGCAGAGCGTATCTCAATTCCTTGCTGTTAAAATTTCGCTCCTAGCCCCTAGACATATTTCACACATCATGGGTTTTCGATCTCTTTCTATGTGGGCTGGGCTTAGTGCCCGGAGCGTAACAATCTACTTAATTGTCGAAAACGAAACAGACGCTTTTACTGGCAGCTCAGTTTTTTTTTTTGAAAAACGCTCAGACTCGTCGATTTTGTTTTCGAGGGGGACACAAGTTTGGCAAAAAATCACGTTAGCACTTGTAGCCCCCTAAGCGGGAGTGACACCACCCCCAAAATCTTAAATGGAAAGGGGGGTCGAGTGATACCTTATTTTAAAGGTCTTTCAATTCCATTTATAATGATATAAAATTAATGTACTTCAGTAGTTTTGAAGATTTATTGATTTAAAGCTTAAATAAAACTAATACATCATCATTAGTGGAGATCAATACATTTGGCAGCAAAGTAATTTAAAAATGAAGAATGAACTGACCCGTTAGGCAAGTAAATGTTGAAAATGGCCACCATGACTCTCCATGCAATAATAAAGATTTTGCTCAAAACGTTGCCGCACATTTTGCAATATTTGAGGAGTAATTTGAAGGCACTCATTCACAATTCTTTGCCGCAGGTCTTCTAATGATGTTGGCCGAGTAGCATAGATTTTGCTTTTTAAATGACCCCACATAAAGAAATTCAAAGGTGATAAATCTGGCGATCTTGGGGGCCATTCAATGGCACCTCTTCTACCAATCTATCGATCTGGAAACGTCTGATCTAAATATTGTCGAACACGTAATGCGTAATGTGGTGGGGTACTATCCTGTTGGAACATCAACCTATTCGCAATGTATCATTCTGATTTTCAATTATGGCTGTTAATGCAGGATCTATGGCGTCTTCCAGTAATTCCAAATACATTTCACCGGTCAAATTTCCAGGTAAGAAAAAAGGACCAACTAAATGATCGAAAAAAAGACCAGCCCAAACATTTAATTTTTGTGGCTGCTGTGTATGAACCTCATGATAAATTCTGGGATTAGAATCGGACCAATATCGGCAGTTATGACGATTTACCACGCCATTTAAGAAAAAGGAACATTCGTCGGAAAAGCAAGTGTTGAATAGAAAATGTTCATCGTTTATAATTCGTTCACTCATATCTTCACAAAATTTTAATCGCCGATCAAAATCGTCTTCATTAAGTTCTTGTACCAGGTGAATTTTATACGGATGAAAATTATGGGCCTTTAGAATCCGTTGGACAGTACGTCGACTAACATCACACAGTCTCCAATTTGCGGGTACTTAACGTAGGATCTACATAAACTTGCCCTAAAACCCCCACTTCTATTGCTTCGTTCCTTATGTGATTTTCAATGTTGCGTTTTTTATTGGCGACTGAACCAGTTTCCCGAAATTTAGCTACAAGTTCTAGAACATATTTTCGATGCACGTTACTGTTCTCATCTCGCTCATTAAATATTTCTGCTGTTCTATTAGCGCACTAATTATTTCCGAAAAATATTTCGATAATTTCTGCTGTGGAATATACCATGGTTAATTTATGTAATAAAGCGTTACAAGTTATTTTAGCAACAAAGTTTGGTCAGATCAATCGCAAACTATGTACTAAATTCCTATTTAAAATAAGTACGAGATATTTCCTTATCTTTCTTCAAGAAATAACTTTTTGCCACAAAAAACGCTCCAATAGCTATTTTCAACAACAAAATGATAAACAAACCATGGGCGTAGTGAAGAAAAGCATTTACTTATTAAGTAAATTCTTTTAGTCAAATTTCTTCTGAAAGTAGTCCAAACTAATCTGATGTACATATTAAAGTCTACTTTAAGCTTTAAATCAATAAATCTTCAAAACTACTGAACTGAAGCTCATGTATTTTACAGCATTATAAAGGGAATTGAAAGACCTTCAAAATAAGGTAACACTCGACCGCCCTTTTCCATTTAAGATGCACGTGTTAACGTGATTTTTTGCCAAACTTGTCCCCCTCGAAAATAAAATCGACGGGTCTGAGCGTTTTTCCAAAAAAAAAAAAACTGAGCTGCCAGTAAATGCGTCTTTTTCGTTTTCGATGCGCCACCCTGTATTTTGAACTGCTTTGTTATCAGAAACTAGCTTTAGCAGATATGTAAATATACCAGTTTGACAAGAAAATCCCAAAAGAAAACGATACTCACCGCTGAGGAGATCAAAGACGGTTGCCCCGAAGAATTCTCTGAAAACGTCTTCTGGATCTCTAAAGGTGAAGAAACCAAATGAGCCGAGATCAAAGTCGTCATCATATGACTGCCTGCTGCTTCTGTAGTGGTTGCCTCCGTTCAGTAATCCTTCCTTGCCATACTGGTCGTACATCTTTCTTTTCTTATCTGAAATAAATGACTGAAACTCAATTCGCTGAAAAACAACGTTAGGTCTCTTCACCAGTTCTGGCGGTTAAGCATAACTTTCTTGAGGCAAACTGAACAATGTGCAAATCAATCTTCAACAGTGCTGCTGCTAGCACTGTTTGCGTTAAAATGAGCCATTCTATGGAAGAAATAAACCAATTCAGCAAGAAGAGAAAGCTAATACAGCAAAATGATCTTGAAGAACATCATTATTAACAATGGAAAGTAAGGTATCAAATTAAAGCTTATTTCTTACTCTCTCAAAGTAGGTATGGTTAGGATATCAAAAAGGTCTCAAGTGCCCACACTCATGATTATGTTCAGCAAAAATTAGTTCGTTCATTAAAAAATTCTTATTATTAAAAAATTCTCATTATTTGACAATATTCCTAGAAAGCTCCACTTCATAAGGAAAACTCAGTAGAAAAGAGACTATTTGCTGCAAAATGACAGGCATACATTTTTTCTCTAGGTTGTACCATTTCTCAGATATAACGCCACCACTCTGCTGGAAATTTCGGTGTCTGGCTAATATCTTTGGAACTACAAACTTTTCGGAAAAAAATGATAGTATAAATTGTTTTTATGTGGCAGTAGGTGTGAAAGTATTGCAATTTGTTAATTTAAAGTGAAATAAATATATGAGATCCGGCCACATGATTTCCGTTTACATAGCCTAGCAGAATGAAAAAATTACTGATTATTCTGTAGATGTTGGTATTCAAGAACAATGGGTTGCCATTCGTAAAGGTGATCCATTCCAATAAACAAATTAAATAGTGTTAATTTAATTTAGTAAGAGGAGTAAACTATACAGCTAAATAATTTCGAAGAACATTATTAATCACGGAAACTAAGATATCAAATTTAAGATCATCCCTTATCTGAAAATAAGTTTGGTTGAGATATATCAAAAGAGTTTCAAGTGTTTATACTCGATTATAGTCAGCGAAAATTCCATTTAATTCATTACAAAATTCCATTTTTGAGAATCCATCTTAAGAAAGAGAAAAAATCAGTAGAAAATTATTGCCGAGGCGATTTGCTACAAAATGACAAGAATGCATTTTTTTCTCTAGGATGCCTACCGTCTCAAAGGTATGCTTTGCTGAAAATCGTGAATTGCCCCAATTTCGGTTTCTTTTAAACCAGAAACTTGACGGTAGAAAAAATGCGTGATGAAATGTTTTTTTCTAATAGTTCATGGTACCAAAGACTTTAGCCAGAAACCGAAATTTGAAGTTCCCTATTTTCAGCAAACATACATGTTGAGACGGTATATTTGAGAAATGATACATCTTAGAGAAAAATGATTCTTGCTGTTTTGTAGCAAATCGTTTCTCATATACTAGATTGTTTAAAATGTATTCTCCAAAAAATAGGGGATTGTGATGTTATGCCTATAAAAAAGGCATTTAGATATTCAAAACATGGCAGGTTTTTACTTAGTATCATTTTTTGAGGACTAAAAAAGGCCAGCAAACTATTTGTGTCGGTCTTTATTGTGAATGATAGGATGTTCGACTTGCAATAAGGTCCAAGCCTTTTAACTTCAACTAATCTTATCAATATTATTTAACTATCAGGGAGAATATGTAAATCAGTGCCTTATAACTTTATTTAATTTTATTTCAAGATAGAACGACGCCGCGACGCCGTGCCGCCATGAAGCAGGACCCCAGATAGTTTTGAATAGCGCGCCTAATTCAACAAGCTGCTGGTAAATTTCAGTAGAAGAAACTATTTTTACGTTTAAAAACCGAGATTCTGAGCGTACCTCATAATGGCGGGTACCGCAAAACCTATAAATTTTAGTTGGCGAGAATTATTTTAGTGTTTTTTAAGTAAACATTTTTATTTCTGGGCATTAGGAAAATAATTTTTGCGCACTGTATTATTGTTAGTAATGTAAGGTTACTGATTCAAAGTTTGGATTATTAAACTGCCTCCATGTGGTGGCGTGATGGTGTTGTAAAGTGCAACAGTAACGCAGTAATTCGAGTCAGTTAAAAATTTTCATCACACAAAATGAACGACTCCAACAAGAAACTCCACCGAAACACACAGAATGTGAGGTTATGTACCACCCACATCCGAGGTATACCCTATTTCACGTATCCATCACGGTAGAATGACAGCCGATTATCTAGTAATACTTCAAAATTCCCCATATCGACACAGGTCACATAATACTGACGGATCCGTCAGCGACAGGTAGATAGAACCGTATTTTGTTTGCATTTAATTCATTTGCATATGAAAAACACAACGAAACAAACAAGTTTTACTAGATTTATACCCGATTCATTACTGCCAACGCTGCAGACTAACACAAAAATGTCACTTGCTGATCCGCTGTTCACCTCAGTAGACGTCAAACCGTGATGGATACTCGTGAAATACGTAACATCTCGTAGACATGGCCTATGGATAAAATAAAATGTAAAGCATTTTTCTAGACCCAACATGACTTACCATCTGATAATACTTCGTATGCTTCGGACAGCTCTTTGAATTTCTTCGTGGCCTCGTCCATATTCTCTGGATTTTTGTCGGGGTGCCATTTTAAAGCTAGTTTTCTGTAACTGTAATGGAAAATTGTCCATATCAAATATTCATCACATGAAAACTATATGATTTTATATAGATTTCTTCTAGATGGGAGTAGATAATATAACTATTATGTTATCTCCAATGAATATTTCGACTTTATAAAGTAACTTACTTCAAAGTAAGTATGACTCAACTATAACGCGGAATAGATAAGATGATCGTGTCGATTATTTTTGTTCCAATGAAACCATATGGCCAGCCTGCCTAGATAATTGGCAACCATGTCAAATACACTGGCGATTGGTCAAATAAGCGATTTGAGGTGAGACCACAATTGAATTCCAATCAGCTATTTCTCTTTTGTTGCTCAGCTAAATCGTGCAGTATTTCGCATAGAGCCCTAAAAGTTAAATAGCTATGTGACAACTTACAGGTTTTGCAAATAACTTTTGATTTCATAAATCGGAGAGCACCCACAAAAAATGTGATTTATATCTTCATAAAAACAGAAGTTATTCTCAAAACCTGTACGTTGTCCAATAGCTATTCAACTTTTAGGGTCCCACGCAGAATATTACACGATTTAGTTTAGTAACAAAAGAAAAATGTCTGTTTGGAATTCAAATTCTTAATGACCACAAATTGCGTATTTGACCCATCGTCGGTGTATTTGACATGGTTGCCAGTTATCCAGGCAGCCTGGCCTTAATGTGTAACAAAGTCTACAAAAAATTATTAATACACTTTTGTCGAGAAACTCTACTAGGAATTCATAAAAGATAACTGCAATGTGACCTAGTATAATCTCAGTATTTAATCACTTGTCCAAAACAATACATCTCATGTATTTTCATATAAACTTTATAACAAACATGAGATTTTCTTGAAAAATAACAGTATTTAAATATATATTACGTATACTTACGCTTTTTTAATTTCAACAGTGGTAGCACTTTTAGGCACCTCCAGGACCTTGTAGTAGTCCACCATTCTGGTGCCACAAGAATCCTTATGCCCCAGTTTTGTGAGCTAATCCTGAAACAAATATATTCAATGAATTTTGTGCCAAGATAAATGAGAGGATAAATGTGCAATCATTTTGCGCAAATAATGATTAGATTCTAGACATTCAAATCATTGTCGTGTTATCTGTAGATATTCGTTATATTTTTTATCTAACCACAGTTTATTCGTCATCCTGTATTAAAATTCTCTTATAATTTCTGTAATATACATTCATTTAACGATATAATGTTGATATATTGTCACAATAATATAAAGATGTGAATATTTCTATTCTCATATTTAGGCATCATATAGCTTTTCAAAGTCGTGTTAAAATTTCATCGAAATAATTTTTACAAATAAGGAATAGAAAAAGATGCGTATTTTATTGAAAACCAACTTTATCAATTACATTACCTGAAAAGATTCATTATAATTAAACATTTATCTGTAAAGGAATTGGAAGCACTTTTATAAGATTATACACACCAAAATTAGCATGTTACGAAGGACAGATTTGGAGAAAATATGTGTTTTTTCATAAAACGTTTGTATATAATTTACCATGATGGATTATCAGACTATAATAATCAATCAAATACCAATACAACTTGTCATTTATTAAATGGCCGCCATATTTTGAATTCATGTTATTCTTATTGGGAAGCTCAAATTATCTTGAACCTGTGAATTCGTGCATCTAAAATTACGTATAATAGATGCACACATATCATGCATTTTCTATTTCTGGGCGCACGAACAGTTCTACAAAGCTGCAATTCGAACAGCAGTTTCCACTAATTAGCTTTGAGTGAATCATCGTCGCAATACAAAAAGACTCATACGTTCTAAGAAACTAACAAATGGAACATATTTATCTTTTGTTGCAATTAAAAAACAAGTGTGCGAGATTTCGTACCGTTAAAAACTGTACATTGACATTAAAATATGCTCCGAAATTCGTTCGGTACATAACGCTAAATGTGTACCTACGCCTACCTCATTGTCACCTTTTATGAAAATGAAAAAACATTTACAACACCAACATAATCATATATCGGCGTATTAATACAGAGATGAACAGGGTGATTCAGCACTTCGTCATTCGTTAACGGTTACAGATACCATTGTGATTCTTGCAAATATTTCTTGAAGCAAACTGTGATCGAATTGGAGACTGCAAAAAGTCGGCACATATCTCAATTATAAATGTGTGTTGAGATCGCAAAAGCAATTATATATAACATAATTATATCGTTGAAACGAACCCATGTTCATTTTGTAAGGGGTTATGTCAGGAATAAAGGAGAACGGTTTCATCCACCTTGTACATACAAATTTCAAGCGATGGGGTATTTTTGAAAGAAAATATTATGTCAGAATAACAATATTTTCCTTCTAAATAACATATTCTAAATATTTTCACAATTTTCTAAGAACGAGTTTCAAAACTATTCCTAAAAAAATAATGTAAAATTTCGCGTTATAAGTTCTAGCGTCATGTTGTGTCTTCAACGTTCTGTCGTTTGAATGTAACCCTATTTCTGTCATGGGCCATGGAAGTTAGATTTCCGTAAGATTTAAGGAAGATAACCTTTATTCTCTGATATTGACGGTTTAATGTGGAATGCATTGTGGCGTTGTATCGGTACCCGGCATGTCGTTTTTTATACATTATCTAGGTTTTTTGAGACATTATGTAGGTTTTCCTATAAGATGTCAACTTGGAACTAGCTGTTGTTCACTTGATGTGCACGCGTTTTGTAGCTGTACGTGTTAACCTAAACGTCACGACTTTTGAGCTATCATGGTTTGGCTCTGATGTGATGTATCTGCTACAAATATGGCAATATGGAGGTCTAAACTGTAAGTTGTATACTTTAGCTGGAAGGAAACGGCAGTGCATTCACTTTTTGCATAGTGCAAATTTGCTGAATATCTCAAATGCAAGAGATAAGACAGGTGAGAAAATAGGCTACAGACAAGAATATTTATGAAACGAGAATATTCTACATTGTTTTTCTTTTTCAGTCATTGGAACTTTGTTAAAATTATTTTGCGATGTCAATTAGAAAATACAAATCAGCGCCTAGATGTGAGGCACTGCAAAAATGTTTTGTGTGATGTGGAACAAAATCAAAATCTTATAGTTGTGGAGAATATCCGTTATGACTTAATGCAAAGACTACCTGAAATCAATTTTAAATGATCCAGATGTTTAGAATAAAAAACAAATGTCATCTTTACTAAGGTATTGTGTCGTAACGGCAGTGTCAACTCAAACGTGTATACTCAAACGTGATCGCGTCGCTCCAGTGTGTGGGCTGTTATTTGATTATGTGAATTGGAACCCTCCTCCCTCCTTTTCTCTTCGCTTCCCTTCTCTCAATGAGCGTGCACCTTATTTTCGCGCTACAATCTGATAATGTACAGCAGTTCGTCCTGTATAATTGCCATGTAATTGTCTCAATATCACGCGTTAATTCAATTCAATGTAACTTTTTTGTTTATTAATAAGCGAATCATAGACAATACGTTTTTCAAGGTTCAATTTACGCAGCTTATCACGAACAGTGTTGTAAGTGCACATTTAGATACGTTAAAAAATCAATTTTCTTTATTATTCGTTCAGTCATGGACTTATTGCAGGCAGACAGGATTTTGCTAGTATAACGTAAAACAGACGTTTTGCATGGTTTTTATTTTAAAAAAAATACATAGTAATTGTACGGAATTCGGTATCTATACGTTATGAATACAGCAGCTAATATATATTATATGAGTTAGTAGCAGCAAAGTCACATTCAACAAAAAAAAAACTCGAAACTGATATACCTATGCTATCCTCTAAATTTAATAAATTGAGAGCTCGCAGTCCCTCAGAGTAACGATTGTGTTTGGAAGCTAGAAATGCTTCTGGCAGCGGGTCGCAGCCGTTGCTTTCATTGTTTATAGTATTTTTTATTGTAAAGTAATGGGAAGACCTAGAAAAACAGACATGAAAGCGACGTCATGGTAGAGACAAAAACTGAAATTAAGAAATGTATTATATTATATTATTATATGTGATTCATGACTTTGTATTCAAAAAAAAAGTAAACATTTTGTTAATTTTCATTGTCCCTATATCTTCGTAGTTATCTTAATTTCCTCATAATAGTCTAATCATATTAGATGAAAATACCCCTGGTTTGCGAAATAATTTTAAAGTCTGGTTTTATTGCCGAAAAACGAGGAAAACTGCATGTTTTGGCACTTGTTGGTAATGCGAATGTCATTTATATCATTATATCATTTAAACGTGTATTTTGTTATTAAATGTTTTTTGAACGAACCCTGTATATTGCTCAATAAACTCTTAGTGATGGCCGGAAAACAGGTGTTTTGGGATAAACAATTATTAATTCTCAAAAAACTACATGACCGATATAAACCAATATTGTTGTTGTTATTTACAAGTATGAATCCTACGGATTTGAGGAATTTCAAGTAGTTGCGTGAAATTATAGTCGCATTACCAACAAGTGCCAAAACCTGCATTTTGCCTCGTTTTCCGGACATAACATTTTTGACATTAGTCGGATCTTTTTACGTGCAGTCTCATTTTGTAGGTCTCATAAATACCTAAAGTTTTTTCGTTCCTGTCCACACTTTCGATTGAATCTCAAAAACACGTTATCTCATTCTTTGTTATCAAATTAAAAGTTTTCCCACAAAAATTGCCGTACCCATTTTATGCGTAAATGTTTTAAATACCCCCTTGAACATCTTGCACCAATAAAACCAGACTTTACAATTATTTCGGAGAAATTTGCGAATATGATTAGACTATAATATGTTCCAAATAAAGCATGATATTTTACACTATTTGGATTGGGTTAATATTTTTTTGACGGAAAAATAAAATCCCAAATACTGTATGTTCACTCATATAATTACATCAAAAATTAATATAAACCCTCCCTCACCCACTACAAGCCCCAACCCTCAATTTTTAGCACCAACAAATGTTTTTCTGGAAACGATCAGGAGCCTCTCAAATGCCAAAAGACGGAGTTTGAACAATTTTTGTTTTTTCCTCTTTTTGCTCCTAGCTTCGCCACCACTGGACCGAATTTCAAAAACTACAAAGTCGGACCGACCGCCAGAGTGACAGACAGACAGACCGAGAGAGTGACCGACAGATAGACAGGCAGGTCGACTGGCAGACAGACAGACCGACGGAAATGAGTGACATAGTTTTTCGTGATGTAAATGTCAAATAACATCTGAAACATATAACATATCGTTATCCAAGTTTGTTACCTGTTTTTGTGACGCAAAAAAGTTAAGATACGGAATATTCGACCATTTTCCCCTATATTCATATGTATATATACACAATAATTACCTTAAAATGTTATCGAAATAAAACGATTAAAATTGAATAAGTTATATTAATAAATAGATATACCATAGTATCTCATAAACGCAAATATGCTTATTAAAATGAACGTCATTGCGTGTGCACGTATTATAATTTAATCAAACAACGGGGGCAGGGGAGCGCATCCTCCCCAAGCCCGGAATTTCTCTTTTCGGCACTAGCTATATCCCAATATTATCAAAGATATAAAGAAAGGTCGACCGGAGTTTTCTATACACTGACCAATCAAAAAATGTTTACATTACGTCTAGAAAAAATGTACAAAAATAAAAATTGGAAACATACTTGGTTTTTGTATTAACTACTATGAACGATGACCCCTCATGATCGGACTACGTGTTGACAAAAACGATAACAGAGAAACCGACGATAGAAAGATATGTATTTTCGTGATATGGACATTACAAAGCTCTTACGCGTATGGGTACACAGACAAGTCTCGACCGTGTGATAATCTTAAACTAAAAAAAGATCACTCGAGAGGAAATTTCGCAAAATGTCATTAACCAAATCGTTGAACTTATTTCACTGTTTGTATACGCAATCGTACATTTATTTTCATATGAAGAAAATAACTAAACAACATACACATACACAGTACACA